CTGTGGGAAGCGAGAGGCAGGCTCTGCTCTGCCACAGCAGCCACCACTTCTTGTGGGTGGCAGCCAGGGATTGGGTGCTGCTGGAGAGGCAGGAAGCTGGGTCCCTGGCCCTGTAGCCCTTGCAGCTGGAGGCCCCCTCCAGCAGGGCTGGGCAGGCGGGGGGGTGAGGGTCCTGGACCTGCATCCTAGTGAGTGAAGCAGGCAGGGGAAGCTGCGATTTTCCATGATAAACCCAAAATCAAATATCAAATGTATACATACTTGATTTTATTGTAGTGATTGAGGCCCTAGTAAGCTTCCAAATTGCTTTAAAACTGTAAATATATTAATAAAACATTGTTTTCAATTGATTATACACACACACACACCATATCTATGTCTCTATATCTATGGCATTTCGTTTTAAGTGTGGATTTTGGGTTTTTAAAATCAGAGAATTTGTGATTTTTAAACAGAGAAAACAAGGGTCCCTGGAGAGAACTAAGGCTTGTTCTACCATAAAAAACTGGTTCTACCATGTTCAGGTGGAAGAACACTTGGGTTTTAATATCTTTGATAGGCAAATAATGATTGGGAACATGGGGGCAAGCTGGGGAATGGTGCTTCTCCCCTGCACTCCAAAGATGAGGTAACATTCATTTCTCTCTTCCTGTTCACATGCAGCTTCCTTGCCCCACCTTGAAGTCACCATCTTTGTTTTTACCAGACCTCCCCTAAAGTTTCGCTGTGATCCCACCTTGTATCTTAATGATCTTTCAGCCCTCCCATATAGGGCAGGTCCAGATGCCTTCCTCCATTCCCAAGCCATAAGGCAGTAGGGTAGAAGACGGAGTCATCCAGGAGAAAATGGACAGAGATGAGCCAAAAGAATACAGCAACTCCTTGTTGGATAAGCTCACTTCACCCCCTCCGCACTGAAGAACAGCTGAATTCTGGAGGGAAAGCAGGCCCCCACGTTTTTCTTCCACAATCCTTAAGAGTTTATGTCCCTAAGATGTACCAACTCTCTCAAGCACAGACAAAAGCAATGAAACGGGGAAAAAGGATGAAAGCGGGGAAAAATCAGAATAAGATGAGCTGAAGAAAAATTATTCTGATCAGGACATCTAGTATCCGAAGAGATGTTAGCCTGTGGACAAGGGTGTAGGCTGTAGCTGTGTTGGTCTAAAGACATAGACAGACAAGGTTCTTTGGGTAAATCTGATAGCTTTTATTAGACCAACTCAAATAGTTGGAAAAATTCTTCTTGGTAAACTTTTGGGAACAAACACCCTTTGTCAGGCTGAGGAAGCATCTGCAGATGGTCTGTGCTCTTCCTGGATGGAGTGGTAAAGCAGCAAGAGGCCAGTGCAGATGCAAGAAAGCCAGTCAGTTAAAATGTAAATTGAGTGATCAGTAGGTGAGAGATAGGTGGGGGAAGGGGAATGAATGTAGCTATAGTCAAAGGATGGGAGACAGGAGGGTTGGGGGAAGGGAATGAGAATAGCTGGTAAAAAGTGGAGGGCTTACCTGGGACAGCACCTGCAAGTTATTCACCCAATCTTGCACATCCCTTATGGCCACTACAAAAGCAGGTGTAAATGTTACATTCAGAGTCAGAATAAGGCAAGATCTTCAAAACAGCTTCCGTAACAGTCAGGCCTTCACTTTCGAAACAGGATAAGTACAATTTGCAGGTAATAAGACCACTTCTTGATGTATAGTGCAAGGGTTCTGGCCTGCAATTCATAGATTGTAAGGGTGGGAAGGGACCTCGCAAAATCATCAGGTGCAGCTCCCCTGCACTAGGCAGGAAAGATAACTGGGGTCAGGTGACCCCAGAAAGGTGACCGTCCACTCTCCCCTATTTCCTTCCATAAGGAAACAGATTAACTTAATTATATTACAGTTACTATTGCTCAGTAGGGGAACACTTTTTCCCCTCACCTAAAGCTTAGTTTGATCACTTGAAAGGGAGTCTTTTGTGACAGACCATCTTTTGCTCCAAAAGAGCTGGTTCAGGGTGTAGTTTAACTATTACTGAAACAAGTGTTATAGTATCACATAAGGACACCAGAACACTTGCACACTTAGGTAGCAGGTTTCTAATCCTGAGATCTTAATATATACATTTACACTAATTCTCTGTGAAGCAGAATTTGTATATTTTGAGACCTTTCAGGTACCTTTTACAGGCATTTAACAATTTTACAATACATTTTTTCTTCCTCTTTGTAGGGTAGTGAGGAATTAATATCTATTTCATTGACTGCCAGGGTTGCCACTGCAAGAAATTTGTTTTAGTGGAAAAGCTGTAAGCTTTTACTGACAGCCAAACTTTTTTACTGGTATGTTTTTACTGATATATGTAATGTTCATATATCATAGATTAGATTAAATCCAACTCTTCTGCTAGGCCCTGTCCTGCTGCCAGACCCCAGTTACAAGGGCTGGGTTCAAATTAAGGGTTTTAACATCAACTGTAGTAAAAAAGATGGGTTGTCAGTAAAAAAAAAAAAAATCGTGGGATGGCAACCTTGTGGACTGCAGCGATGGTTTGACATTGTGCTGGCCCTGCCACCAGGGACCTGTTACTCATCTCCACACCCCAAAGTCCTTGACTGCACCCCCAGCCCACCCTCCAGCCTTATTCCTGCTGGTCCTGCTGCACCTGTTCAGGCATGAACCCTCAAAAGTCTACCTCCAACCCAGCAGTATTATGCAGACAAATGCATCAGCAGCACAGCAAGAATGTGGAGAGAATGCTCTGTACAAGTACTGCACTCCTAGGTGTCACTGCTGTACTCTGTCAAAGCTTCCATCATGCTGCAGCTACTTCATATTTCTACTGGTGACTAAAGTATTTTATGAAATTTACTGACAGCCACATTTAGCCAGATTTTTTTTTAACAGCTGATAGAAACTTCATTACAGTTGGCAATCCTTTTGATTGCTTCCTTACCACTATGATTCAGAAATGCAAAATAGATCTTTGTTCCAACCAATAACAGATTTTAGTTGCTCCCCACTTCTGCATATGGCCTAGCCTTGCTATCCAAGTAAGTTTGTTATCTGAAAGAGGATGACCATGAAATAAGTTATTTCAGGTAGAAATAAATGTAGCCTTAGTATGAAACAGTATTCTTCAATTTGTTGCTTTATGATTCTCTTGAGATCAAATACAACATATTCAATGCAAAGATTACTCTGCTAGTTTAAAATATACCACCGCAAGGAAGTGCAGAAGAGCAGAAATTCTACAGTAATTGACTAAGACTTATTTCAAACTAGTTTTTACTATTACTTCTAGCTCTCAAGGTAATCTAGAAAATGACACACTGGACCAAATTTAGATTGTATATTATTTTTATATTCTGTATGTTTAAATGTGTCAAAAATGCTCTTTTTACTTTGCTTCCCCTAATGTTACACATGCAATGTACTTTAGCTTCAGACAGTCTACCTTTAAAGAGCTAGGAGCTGGAACCACCTGGTCTGGTTTGATACAGGCCAGGTGGCTTCCCTGCCACCTTTCCCACTTCCCTACTCCCTGACTATGGCGTAGACTCAGCTTCCAGTTGGTGGGAAACTGTACCTAGGCTGGGCAGCTAGGAGTTGCATCCCAGCTGCCACCACTTTTTCCTGTCCCCTTCCTCCCTGCCTCCCAGCTGCAGTCCAGCTCCACAGGGGTTAGAAGCTGTGCTCACACAATAGCCAGGGACCAGGTGTGGCAGAATGCCACCTCTGTCTCTCCCCAAAAACTCTGCTCTGTGACAATTTGGTTAACATGGGCCCTGCAGAGGGCAGACATCCCATCTCTTTAGGTAACCTGAGTTGGATACATTCCTGAGGGAAGGGGGGAACCAGCTCCTTGCGCCTATGTGACTGGCATCACATACCTGGGTGAGGAGCTTACGCTCCCTACTGTCCTAAGCAATGCTGACCTGACTGGGAGGGGGCTAGATACCCTGCCAGTCTGCCCAGTGATACATTTCAAATTGGTTGGCTGGCAGCCAACACTTGCTGGTCTCCATTGGACCAGGTAAATGAGGTCATAAGGGCTACTATGCTTGTTTCCCATGAGGCAGAGTGCCAGGATCACTCCAGACCCTGGGTAATGGCAGCACTACCCCCAGGCTAGTGGGTGTGCTCCAGGAAGGGAGTCAGCTAGACGTGAGGCACTCAGAGCCTGAAAGGTGGTCGGGCACAGTGAGGTTGGTGGCCTAGCGCAGGAGCACGCTCTCCTGGCCCGCCACACCAGGGTGGTTGGGGAACGCAGGAGCAGCAGCACAGGCACAGCTTCAGGCTCCACAGGCTGGATCCAGTGGTTCTGTGTACTGGATGTGGCCTACGGGCTCGGGTTGTCAACTCCTGGTCTAAGACAAATCAAGTGCGTTGCATTTGTGCATCAGTCCTTCTCTTTGAAGAGGAATCTAGATGTACAGCAAGATGCCTAGTTAAACCATCTAAAGTGATGAAAACTATTGAGTTAAACCTTCAGGCAGCAAATTCAAGAACCATTAAAATCTCAGTGATTAGCTGATCACATTGTTTTGTGGCAGGGGAGAAGGAAGGGAACTCTGAACCAAAGTCGAAATATTAAAGTTTCCTTCATCACCTCATTATCCAGTATTTCAGTTGAACGGACAGTCAAGTTTACAAACAAATGCTGGGTTAAATCAAACATCTGTACATTATATAGACTAGTGAAAGGCTGCAAAAGATACAAAATGTGTTTTTCAGAGGTTAGATTTTTTTTCCTTGTTTGGGTGGATCTTCAAGGAAAAATAAGATAAATAGTTTTAAAAAAAGGAAAAAAAGGGAAAAAGAAAAAAGAAATAGGAGATATTAAGAAGATGGACAGGAAATTTAAGTGACATTGAACTTTTTTTAGAAACTACCCACCCCAAATCCCTGCCCTTAAAACAAGTAGTATATTGAGAGCGTAGCAATAGCCTTAACTAATGGCTGTAACCTTGGATCATTTATTAAAATTAGAGACAACTGATGATCATATTTACTTTGATCAAGGTGTTTATTGCATCATCTCAGAGGGCATACATGCACTGGGTTTTTAAACCGAAATACAAAGAGCCATTTTGAAATTAGCATTATATAACTCTCCCCCCCTTATGGTGTATGTTATCCCCACAGTAAATTCAGATACAACCACTTTTAATGGTACCATACATTGATTAAATAGTAATTTGAAAGACTTAAGTGAACATCTTTCCAACCCAATATGCTTTTACAGAGAGCTGCCAAGCCACTTGTAACACTGATCAACAGTGACTTCATTTAGAGTTAAATTCTTAAGCCAAGCCATCAGCACAAAACAGTATGAGAACAAACAAACAAACAACAACAAAAAAAAAAAAATCAAAGAAACACAATATGTACAGTAAAGGGTGTAGTTCTCTAGATCAGTATTAGACCTAAATCACAAATAGTACAAAAACTACTCACAGCGTGGTTGGGGACTGGAAAAAAATGCTAGTCTAAGGAGTACACATGTAAGCACTAAATTAACAGATGTACATACAAGAAAAATAAAAATGAAAAAACACCACTTGAGATAATGTTGACTACCGATATACCAAAGAGTGCTTTTGTACTTTTAAAAAAAATCTTAATGCCAGTACAACTATGGTTGCCTTTTTTTTAAGCTATTTGGAGAGAAACTGACCCTTTACTTCTTTTCAGTGCATTTAGCAAGAACTGATAAATAGGCCAATTTAAATGCAAAAACTCAAGTTAAAATACATTTTAAATAAAAACAAACGATAAATAAGGTATTTTCAGATATGATTTTTCATACTTTATAAATAACTTGAAAGAAGCATTACTCATGGAATGTTACCATTATATTACTTTAAATTATATCTTAACATATATAGTGTCACAAAAATAAAACTTTTTTCACAACAATTGAGATTCTTGTGATTGGAAAAATGTATTCCACACAAAACTATCATAGTTAAGTGCTTTTTTACTATTGGGTATCATCACACTAGGTTTGTTTTGTTTTTTTAAACAGATACAGAAGAAACTGAACTCTTAGGGAAATTTCAGGTGTTTGTCAAAAAGTTATATACATTGAAACCTTCAAAAAACACAGACACATCGCTCCAAATGGCTCACCACACAACGGCTGCATAATCTGCCCCCACTGAATAGGTGCAGAAAAGCACTAGAAGGCATCGGAAACATACATCCATTGTTTAAGTTGTAAAACACAAATAACCCAAGTACACAAATTTAGAGAGAGTAGGGGGTAACAGCTAAGGTAGTACACATTCCTAATGTTCACTTTCACAGCTGTGCTACACGTTTTGGAAGTAAGAGAGTCTGAATAAGCACTGGGTTTGGTACTGGTGGCTCACTTTGAAACTCTGAGCATCAAACTATTATTTGTAGACTCCAAACTCACATTTTTTAGTATCCAGTCAGAAAAAAATGCAGCTGTAAAGACAAAAAAAAAAAGAGTTAGAAGGAAGTGTTACACAAGAATATCTCCGGGAATATCTCCTTGCTAAAAAGGAGGCTTACACCCAATGGAAAGAAGGGGTCATCACCAGAGAGGGCTATTCTGCAGTTGCTCGGGGATGTAGGGGGGTAGTTAGGAAGGCCAAGGCAGAGATGGAACTGGGACTGGCTTCCCAGATTCAGGACAATAAGAAGTCCTTTTTTAAATACATAGGGGGTAAAAAGAAGGTCCCGGGTAATGTGGGGCCCTTGCAG